TTGAGTGGGCCCAGTAACGTCTCCATTGTGAGACTTGTTGTTACTGTGTTTGGCATATTAAATATGTCACGGGTAGCTTGCCAGACTTTGCTGTGTGGGCAAGATACTCTCAATAGCTTGCCGAACTCTCTGAGGGAGGGGCGGAGGAATTGAACTCGGGTCAGCCGGGTTGGCCACATGCAAGGCAAATACCCTACCCGCTGTGCTATTGCTGTAGCCCATCAGTATAAACAAAAAATTTTAATATACAAAATTAAATTCTGAGGTATATGTGTGTATGTTTTTACAAGTAACTTTCTCTAAAGTCATTTCTCCTTTGGTGAAATCGAAAATAGAACCAGTATGGGCAAAATCAAGGGGATAGGAAAAGCACAAGGAAGTGACCCCAGCGGCACCCCCTGATGCCAGATTGCCAGCAAAGTAGCTCCCAAACTGGGTGCTCTTGTCTACACCACCCAGTTTGTATGATGAAATCAAGAAGTACACATAAATTATTTCCTAGGTTTCTCCTCAGAACAGGCATGTTGTATTATGTAACGTAGCTTGAGCATTCTTAACTGCTGTCTATTTATCAGTGGCAACTTAAGACTGGTTGAAAACGGGAAACAATAATATTCATCTGACCAGATCTCTAGCAAAACCATTTCCACAACAATGATGGGACCCAATTATATTTTTTATTTCAGTCACTCCTGATAAATAACAAAATTTTGAGAAATAAAAAATATCTGAAATACAACAAAAAAAAAGAAAAGAAAATGGAACCAGTAAAAGGAAAGGAATCAATCCAAAAGACTAGGGCCTATACTCAGATCTTATGGAAAGGTGGTTATTGATGGAACTTTTTAATTTTCCATCTCATGACATGAACAGAACATAGTAGTAAGAACATAAAATCAATAAATATGATTCTAAGTGTTAACTTCACCTCTATTGCTTACTAACTGAGAAGTTTTCCAACTATGAAAGAGAAACTAGACAAGAACAAATACCTCAAAGTGTTATTATAAATATTAAACATGTACAAAATGCAGCCTGACAAAATGTCACTAATTAATGTTATTATTTCTCTAATGTTTTCCTACGTATGTACTATTTATTTCTTCTTTATTGATTTTATCATATTTCTTTACCAACCACCACTCTTTTATCCACAACAGAGTATATTTCTGCTTTTGAAAATTCAAAGAAAAGTCATATTTTGGTATAATTTATAAAGTCAAGAGTAACAGTCAGTCAGATCAAAGTGAGTCTACTTGTTTTTTTCCCTGAAATATAAGGAAGTTTTTTTCTTTGAATTACTTTGTATGTATGCAAATGCATTCCTTGTGGTATTTGAATGTGACCAGAGTTTTTGCAAAAAAAAAACTCACCACTGAATATTATTACTTGAGAGGAATTTAGCATATGTTCTCCCAAGCTTAACAGGATGCTTAAACAATTAGTTTGGTGCCTCATTGAAGTCTTTCAAATTATCTGTAACAATTTTCCAACGATAAATTTGGAGGGATGTGGGTATTGCAAGTCAGTGCCCTGGGGATCTTGGGGCCACTCCCAGAGATACTGAATGACTCAGGGCACTTGGCACCACTTCCAGTGATGACTTTGCTGGCCAGATGGTTCATATAGTGCTGCTCAGGCCCAGAGGTTCTGGAGGCCATCAAGGCCACCTCAGAGATGCCCACGAACCACAAGGCCACATCCTGAGGAGTTTGGGGGAATATGAGATGAAACTCAGACCTTCCTTGTGTGGCATGTACCTCTGCCCTTTGAGCTATCTCCCCAACCCTCCAAATTAAATATTTTTAATACCCATTGTGTTCTTCACCACTCAGCCCTGCTTTGCACTGCTTTGGCTGCACTCACAGGCAGGTCATCTCGGTGCTGAGAAGGTCCCTGCAGGCTGCATCAGCACCCTGTTTCAGTCCCAAAATCAGTGGGAAAGCAAGCAGACTACTCTCTGAGGAGTCAAAATTGTCCTAACAAAGGAAAGAACAGATAACAAGAAAGCAAACCATCGGACTCTATCTTGGATACCTGTCCCAGTTTGATTCCCATATGGTCCCCTGAGCCAGGAGTGATCCCTGAGCAGAGAGTCAGGAGTTCGTCCAGAGCATCTCTTGAGTATGGCCTAATCCTTCCCCCAAAAGGAAAAAATCAAAATTAAAGCCACACCTCTAACAAAACACTTGTTTTATTGAAGATCAAATATGTCATTGAAAACAAGAATATTAGACATGAAAGCAGGCACAAAAAACTAACCTTCTTTTCTAAAAGTAAGGGTTAGATGAAAAATAATGTTTGGAAATCATAGATGTGATATCAAAGTTTCAAGACAGAAAAGATAGAAATCCTCAGACCAGGAAAAATAGTACATAGGTTAGGGGTCATGCTGTGGTTTAGTTACAGCGCAATGTAGCCACTCATCACTGCAGTGGTGGCTCGGCAGCCCCCCAGAAGACCTGGAAGCCCCTGAGCATCATGGCAGGTGTGGTCGCTGTGTATCACTGGGGTTGCCCCCACAACCCTGACATTTCTTACGAGCCCCCACTTCTTCCTCCCTCAACAAAGAGATCATTATTAATGGAGGAATTCAGTTCAAAGAGCTGATCCAACTCAAGAAACAAAACATTTACCAACATCACTAATCAGTGAAATTCAAATCAAATCCACGGTGTGAGAGCACCTCACAGCTGCAAGAATCACTTTTATCAAATGGCAGATATAACAAGTGTGCACCGCTCATGGGCACGGAAATGGGTCTAGCCCCCGTGTAGAGGGGCATTTGCAAGAAACTGGAAATAGAACTAACAGGCATTCTCCACTTGGGAAATAAACCCACACCTCAACCTAAGATGTCTACTGTAGCTTTTCAAATCTGTCTCTGTTTCTTTTTCACTTTTTTGATTGGGGCCACACTCAAAGCTGTTGCTCAGGGATTAATTTTACTCTATGCTCAGGACTCATTCGGGCAGTGCTTGGGACTTACTCCTGGGTCCAGAGGTCATTCCTGGTGGTATCAGGAGCCCATATGAGGTTTTGGGGATTGGATTCCAGTTGGCTATATGCACATTAAGATGCTCTACTATCTCTCCAGCCACCAGAATTTTGTAACTCTTTCTCCCTCTCTCTTCTTCTATGTTTCTTAGTAGATTTCTCTGAATAAAACTATTTTACAGCTTGCTCTTTCAAGCTGTGCTCTTCCCTGAACACCTCTCTATCCCCGTCTCTCTCTGTCTCTGTCTGTCTGTCTGTCTGTCTGTCTCTCTCTCTCTCTTTTTCTCTCTCCCTCTCTGTCATTTACTGCTTTTCCCATTCTGAAAAAGACCATATTTTCTATTGAACACCTCTTTCTTTCTATCCCACATCTTTTTAAGTAAATTCTGTTCAAGAAAATAAAAACTATTTACTTCACTAAAAAAGTAGAACAACAATATAATCTAGAAATTCTACCTCTGTATATACACATATACACACATATGTGAAACAGATTATCTTCAAAAATATCTGCACTTTCATATTTATCACAATATCAGTGACAGTAAATAAAGTAATAAGGTGTGGAAAAATAACTAAATATCCATCAGTGGATGAATGGATTAAGAAAATGTGGTATATGCAATCATATATTACTTAACAATAGGAATGCATTCTGAAAAATATATCATTATGTAATTTCAATAAATATCCTAGAGCCAGGATCTTAAACTTTTCCCACTCATGATCCCTTTTCATCAAAGATATCCTGATGTGAGTGCTGCCAGAAGTACTTCATTTCCCTTACACAGTTTATTTTACAATAATGCTTAGTCATTGCATATTTAGAGACCTTTTAGAGTTGATATTTTTTTTGTAACACCCACGTTCAGTTATGTGACCCCCATGTGGGTTTATAACCCACAGTTTAAGAAACGGGGTCATAGAGTATAACTCTAAAAATCTAGATAGCATCATCTACAACACCTGTAGGCTATTTGTCATATTCCATTAGACGATCATTAAATATGTGCTTCTTCGCTAAGTGAAACATAACTATGTTTAAAATGGAGTTTCATTCATTCATTCTTCCAAAGAAAGGCAATTCTGTCATTTGCATCAACATGGATAAACTTCAGGGACATTATGCTAAATCTGGCAGAGAAAAACCAATACTAAATTGCAGCACTATGTACAAAACCTATTTTATTTTTTAAAAATCATCTTGTAAAAAAAATAGAAAAGTGGTTGCCAGGGGCTGGGGTGGGAGAAATATCACTATCAATATCACTATCCTCCTGTTGTTCATCGATTTGCTCGAGCAGGCCCAGTAACATTGTGAGACTTGTTACTGTGTTTGGCATATCGAATATACGTCACAGGGGAAATAAGATGAGCCGAATTATTTGTTTGATTCTTGGGCTTTTAGGGTCACACCCAATGATGTTTAGGGGTTACTCCTGGCTCGGCATGCAGTAATTACTCCTGGTGGTGCTCAAGAGACCAGATGGGATGCTAAGGATTGAACCTGGGTTGGCCACTTGCAAGACTAATGCCCTCTCTGTTGTACTATTGCCTAGCCCTGAGGTTAATTTTTTAAAGTACAAACCTTTTCTCTGATATTAGTTTGATGGTCCGATGTAAAACATGACTATAGTTAATAAGTGTTGTATAATAAATATTTGTCAACAAAAAGAAAGTAAAAGTTCCTCGCTGGAAAATAAATGTTTGAGGTGATAATTGTTAATTAAGTTGATGGAGGAATTTTCATAATATATGTACATAGAGTCATAATTTTAAACTCTTTAAACATTTTTTAATTCTATAAGTCAATTTTTCCTCAGTTAAATAAGGGGAAGGAAACGTTTAAACTATCACGTCTCCGAATATTTACATTATTATGTGCTAAAGCATTCATTCAAATTTAGGGTGTATTTCTTATTTTCAAATAATTCCGATTAGTCCGTTTTTTATGTTTCGAATGTTTCTCTCAATTTTAATGCTATTTTTGCTTTACCCCTTAGGTACTGGCAAAGCCCAAGCATCTGACTCAACAGCTCCCGCACCACCACCTCCAGCAACCCATCCGTCCTCTCAGCCACCATTACCAGCATCTCACCCAGCGCAGTCATCAGTCCCAAGTCTACCTCCAAGAAACATGAAACCTCCCTTAGACCTAAAGTAGGCAAAACATTAACTTACCATTTCTTGTTGCAGTTATCTTACCTATGGTAGGGAAAACGTCATCTTACCATTTCTTGTTGCAGTTGTTTGATAGTTTGTTTTTGTTTTGGGTCCACACCCAGGGATGTTCAAGGATTACTCCTGGCAGTGTTTGTGGGTCTATAGGGAATGCCAGGGATGGAACCCAGGTCAGCTGCGGGCAAGGCAAGCACCTGACCTGCCGTACTATCTTTCCAGCCCCAGATCTTACATTTCTTGGCAGTCTTCTGCCAGCCAGGTTACCGAGTAGGCTTGCCTGGAGGCTCAGGGTTCCATGGTAGCCAGCAGAGACCTCAAAGGAAGGCAGCTAGCAGGGAAGAAGAGACGGCTAAGCAGACTGCTTTCATACCCCCACAACCCCCTGAGCAATGTGTTTCATGTTTTCTAGTTGATTTTTCCCTTAAGGGTTCATTTAGAGAATATCTTCAGTGCTGTTTTTCCAGTTCTGAGTCATCCTTCAGAGCAGCACCACCACCGCCCCATCACCTCCACCACCATTATCATCATCACCATCACTGCCATATTGAAGATTCATATGCCAGGAACCTTCAGATATAATTCCTGTAAATTATTGATTGCACAGCATTATCATTTCACAGATGAGGAAATTCTGCAAGATCTCTTACTTTTTATTGATATTTTGAAAATGAGCCAATGCACATGTCTCTCATCTTTCAGATTTTTCAATTGTGTGTTAAATACCAGGAAACTCACTCAAGTCTATTGCTGCTTATATTTTCTTGGTACTTTTTAGAAATGTCTAAACCATGTGGATTTCTGGGCATGGACTCCTTCTTCATGATTGGCTAAAATAGATGGTTGAGGGAAAAATAAGAAAAATGAAATAGAGTAAAATGCTGTCTCTAAAAAGAAATATTTAAATAATAGTGAATATGCATTCTTAGGGTAAATTTGACTAGATATTCCCTTCAACCTTATAGAAAGCTGCTTTACGTGATTTTCCTTTAGTACAAATAATTAATTTCCCCAAATATTTAGCTGGAGTTTGTTTTTCCCATATTAGTTTCAATCCCCATATTAGGTTGATAGTTGTTACTTTCTACATTCAAAGTAGAATCCTTTAATAAATATATCTAATAGCTTTCCTTTAATCATAAAACTATTCACAACAAAAGTTAAAAACACATTTGTTGTGGGTAGCCTCCTCTGTGTTTTATGGTATTGTGCCTTATTTGAATTATAGGCTTAAGACTATAATTTAAATTTGGCAGTTAAAGGGAAATAACTAGATTTTGTGACAGCATCTTAGTGATTGTATCATATATAGCCTTCATTGTGCACTTAAGTGAATTGCATATTCTTTGAGATATTTGAGTTTATAAATAGTAATTTAAAGACAAATACCCATGATATCTAACTGTCAAATTAAACTCTAAAACATCTACCTACTAACTTATAAGACCTAAAGTCTTGTTTAGTTAAAATAATATATGATCTTATAAACAACTGATATCTATGTAAATTAGTTTGTATTCATGTGCATTAAATCCTGTTGCTTTTTCTTAATTTTTCCTACTCTAGTAGTTTGTTTTTAGTGAATCAGAAGTTTTTATTGAAAGAAATTTCCTTAGAGAAGTGTGAGAGGATAGAAAGAAAGAAATACGTGCTCCAGAGAAAACATGAATTTTTTTCCAGAGTGGGAAAAAAATCTATGTTATTAGATTTTATCTTAATATTTTTGAATTTTATTATGTGACCCTATCACAGCTTTTGACTTCAATTAACCTTATTGATCCTGTGTAATTATAGTGATAAGTTATGATAAATAACTTGAGGGTGAATTCCTGAGACCTTGGAAGAATAATGGCAATTGGATTGAAGAAATTGTGACAAGGAGTATCTTTCACTATTCTTTCCAGCTGGAAGACCTCTCACATGTTCTATAATTTACTAAAAGGACTCATCTTATAGTAGTATTTGTTCCTGGTTAAAATTTATTACCACAACATTCTCCTTTCAGAGGAGACACTCCTGGAAGCAGACACACCAAGAGTACTTCTTTGTCCTGCTACCAAACTTCAACATACGGAACAGTATGTTTCAGGGAAGCCCACAGGGACCTTTTTTTTTTTTGAGAGCTTGTCACAGAGGCATCACCTACCTAACAACTCTCAAAATGCCAGACTTTTAAAAGGAAAGCAGATGCTCACCATGAGTCATATTGTCTAGGCATAGAAGAGAATTAATGAATCAATTAATTCATTCATTAATTCTTTTGCTATCAGTCTAGGTAGGGTTTTGGAAGTAGAATTTCCAGATACAAGTCCAGGTCCAATCTTGACAGTACATTTCTCCAAGTAATATGCAGCCTTACATCTGCTATATTAACTCTTTTCTGCAACTTAATCCCTAAAATAAATGCAGGTAGACAGTTGTGGAATGAAAATAGAATTTCAGAAACAGTCCAGTGGTATTTATTGCTACCTTTCACAGAAGGAGATTAATTTACCAATATTTTAGGGAATTCTTGTGAAGTTGAAAGGGGCAAACCCAGCAGGCTTAAGTCAGTACTTGTACCAATCTCATCATAAGTTAGCGAAACCTACTCATTAAAATAAACTTTATTTCGCATTCACGTATTATTGAGTAGTCCTAATTAGAAAGTCTTACTCATCTAAGAGTATTCTCCACAAATGTATGTTCTCAAAAAAAAGATGAAGAGAAATAGTTTTATATGCTATAATTCCTACATAAACTAATCAACATATCTATCATTTTGAGACAGAGGAATAGAGGGAATGAAAGCCAAGGGACTATAAGAATGTTTTTTCTCTTTTCCAACTGAAAATGTAATGGAGAGTTGGATGCTTAAAAAGTTCCCCTGGAGAGATCTAGATAATTCCAAAGTGAAGAAATAGCTGAGTTAGAAACTTTCTCCAAGTAGGGGAAGTTAGATAAGATGCAAAGGGAAATGAAAGAAAAACGGGCCTTGATGGTTAGGCTCAAAAGTTTATATTTTGTGTGAGGGAGAAGTTTATGGAATTATGTTTAAGTAAAGTAGTGTGATACGCTGTTTCTGTCCTTTTTCTTTCCCTTGCTCCATCACCCTTCAACGTGCAGACTTGGGAGCTTCTGTGGTGCTCCCTCTGCTGGCCTGTTGATGCTTTTCCTCCATTCTAATCAAAGATCTCAATCAAAATCTAACTTTTTTCACTCATTCAATAATTTTTTTCTTAACTCACTGCTTTGTGCCTTTATAATAGGCACTCAGGGAATATCAGTAAACAAAGCAAATATCCCTTCCCATGTAAAATAGGGAGGAAGAGAACCAAGAATGAAAAATAATAAACAGGGAAGGATACACTATGAAGAAAGTATCTAGTGCTATGGGAGAAAATAGATTAGGGTTAGGTGGTGCGGTCTGAGGGTGGCATCCCCAGTACTGTGTTGCAATTTCAAACAGAGAAGTGGGTGTATCTTTGTAGAGAAATCCTTAAATGCTCAAGGAAGCAAAGAAGATAGGCAGAGAGGTGGAGGAAGATTATTAGAGGCAGAGGAAAGCAGATGAAACAAAGTCTTCAAATGTTCAAGCTGGGATGGACATAGCTGAGTCTGAAATAGAGCCAGCAAGGGAAAGAGAAATGAGAGAAGAATCAGCCCACAGCCCTTGTGGTAGATGGTAGAGATTATGGGTTTTTCCCTAAGAGCGGTGGAAGCTATTAAGAATTGAGTAGGACAGGAGTGTTTCTTACTGTGTGTTTTGTAAATATGACCTTAATAGCTATGCTGAAGTAGTCAAGACAGAGAAGATGTGAAGGTAGTGGAGCCAGAGGGATAGTCCAACAGGTAGGGAGTTAGTTATGCATGCAGCCAACCAGGCTTGATCTCTGGCACCCCGTAGGGTCCCAGAGTCTGCCAGTAGTGATCCCTAACTACAGAGCGAGGAAGCCCTGAGAAACACTTATGTGGAGGTGCCTCACATTGGGGGGTTTCAGTGAAAATGGGGAAAGGAGTCGAGATTCTGGATACTTTTTGAAGACACAGGAATCTGGATTAGAAAGTAAATAAAGATGAATGTGGTCCATAAAGGAAGACTTGTGGTCTGAGGATCTGTATGGATGATGTTCCATCCACTGACAAGGGAAAGTTACAGTTGAACAAGTTTGAAGATAGATCGGAGTAAGGACAATATTCAGCCTGAGGTGTCTCTTAAATATCCAAGCAGAGATGTCGAAGAGGTAATTTATTGAGTATAAAAGGTAAAGAACTGAAGATACAGTCCTGGATTAAAAATGTAAATTTGAGGGCCAGAGGTACAATTAAGTTATAGCGGTCATGCTATATTAAATATTATTATATTTATTAAAGATTATTATATTATTATATTTATTAAAGATCATTAAATATCTGGGCTGAAGCGATAGCACAGTGGTAGGGCATTTGCCTTGCACGCAGCCAATATGGCCGACCCGAGTTCAATTCCTCTGCCCCTCTCGGAGAGCCCGGCAAGCTATGGAGAGTATCTCGCCCGCACAGCAATGCCTGGCAAGCTACTCATGACGTATTCAATATGCCAAACACAGTAACAACAAGTCTCAGAAATGAAGACATTACTAGGCCCGCTTGAGCAATATATATTGCCTATAAGAAATAATAACACACCTAAATGCATTATATACCATGTATGTGTTACATATGTCTATATATTTTACATGTTTGAGTCACACGCATATAGATAAATACATATATATGTGTATATATACACACACACCACACTTTAAATCATGAGGCTGTTTAAGATAAAAATGGGGATGAGAATACCTAGAGAAGAGCCGATCCTGGAGCACTCAGATGCTGCTTGATATCCAAGTTGATATTATTTTACAAAAGAAAAGAGAAGCATGGCAGTTACTCTTGGTAAAAATGGAATCAAGACTTTTTTTTCAGATGGAAGAAATAACAGTTTGTTTGTGGGCTGGTGGGAATAATCCAGTGAG